CTACAGCACTACCCAAGGAAGATCAAGACTGCAGAAAGACTTGTCCTTTGAGAAGTTTTTTCATGTGGCCTGTGGCTGGGGGGTCTTTGGCTAAGGCTCAAACCAGGTCTACAGTTAACATTAGGGCTTGGATTAGTTTTAGGGTTAGGAGGGTGACAAACCCTGAGCTCCAGTTTGAATAAAGCTGCAAGGGTCTGCCCAAGAAAAGTTGAGTCTACAGAAAGACATGTCTCCCAAGAGGTGTTTTGTCTGGCCCATGACTGGGGGGCTTTGGCTAAGGCTCAGCATACACCTTGCATTAGAGCTAGGAGTTTAGGTGTTTGGGACTTAGGAGAGACCAAGCGTAAAGCTCCAGTGTAAGAGGGGAGCAGGGGGCTGTAAAAGGGCTGCCCAAGGAATGGCAAGCTGACAAAAAAATGTTTCCCCTATAAGCTTTTTCATCTGGACCATGGCTGGGAGTCCTTTTGTTTGGGTTTAACACTGGGTGTTGGGTAGAGTTAATTTCAGGAGAGAAGAAGATCCTGTAGTTCCCGGATTAGGTGAGACCCTCTGTTAAATCTTCAATCTCTACCTTGAATGAGTGCATTGCACTGATGACAGTGACATGATCAGAAGGGCATATTACATTAATGGGAGGGAACAGAATGGAGGGGAAGAAAACTCATTTTGCATACTCTTTTTTGGATGGGCATATTTGTATTTTTTTGTTTTTCCACAGGGGTTTTATCTTCTTCTAGGCACGTTGCCAGGCACTGGATAATTTGCCAGTGGTATAGCATTGCAGAACTTTGCCTCCCTATCTTTCTTTGCTTTAGTGATTCTGTCAGCGGCTATGCGGCATGCAATACCCTTGGCCCATGTTATTCTTCCTTTCTTCCACCTTCCAGATTAAAAGTTCCTGCCCTGCTGAAAGAAAAAAAGTGCAGAAGTAGAACTAACTATCTAACTATTAGCAGATTTCTATGTAGCAAAGTGCAGAAGTAGAACTAACTATTTTTATTTTAGCAGATTTCTATGTAGCAAAGCACAGGGAGACACAAAGCAGAGCTAGGTATATGGGGCTTTGACATTTAGACAGAGATCAGCAGTGCATTGCAACCTGGAGGACAGAGGGCTTCTGAGCAAAGGCAGTGATGGAGCAAAGTAACACCATCAACTTCTGTTGAACTCATGACTCCATTTTGATTCAAGCTGGACTGAATGGGGAGGCAGGGGTGAGCATAGGTGACATGATCTCTGTTTCTTAAATAATAACCATTATTCTTAAAAAAATTTGCCCTTCAAGAATAACCACCAGCATTCACCTTGATGAAGATATATCCTTTCCTTTGCTGGAAGAAAAGGATCATAGGGTAGGAGTATGGGTCTCAGCAATGATACTGTCACAGTCAGGGAACATCCCATGACAAAGCCTGCTATGATACATGTGTCCATCAGCTGTTGATCCTGTGGTCAAAAACCTGCCAGTGGAATTGGCGACCAATAGAGGTGGGATCACTACACTCTGAATGACCACAACAAAACTCACTGGTACTCTAGTATTGGGCATCATCTGCACCAAGTAAGGACTGTGTTTGTTATGGACCTACATGAAGGTCATCTTTTCTGTCCCCAAAGTCCTCCTCTATATGGCAGCCAGAAGTGACCGGGAAGTAGCCTGGAATTTTTAATGAAGGGGTTCCTGAGAGCTATGAACGATGGTGGAAACAAGGGATTTTGAGGAAGCTGCTAGAAACAATCCCCCAAAAGCACATCTGGCATCCTACACTGAAAAGGGAGAAAGAACGGGGTGTTGGATGCAGTGCTGGCCAAGAAAGCTTGTTCCTAGGTCTCACTGACAGAAGAGCACTACTGCTGTGCTAACCAGACAGCTCCTGCTAGAAATGGAAACTTATGCCCAAGTCTGAACGCACTCATTTGTGCCATACCCAGTAATCTGCTGATCCTGCATTGATAATCGTGACCCAAAGTGATCTGGCTGCGAGCTGAAGTTCAGAGTGAAACTGTGTATGAATTTCTAATTCAACCTTCTGAACTGTCCGGTGCCAACATAGCACGCTGAAGTCAGAGAAAGTGCTCGTTAAGTAACTTGTGCAGTGGATGGTGGTTGATGTTTTAGTCCTGTTTTTCCAAGTGTTCTGTTTCAAAACCTCCATCTAACTTTGAGCTATAAAAACCAAATAGATGTTGTTTTGTTCTGACCTTCCTATCCCACAGAACAATATCTCATGGTGAGCAATTACTTTCATTCATTATTACTCTTTAGAGTACTTTTTTCCTTGAAAATACACACTTTTGGGTGAAGTAAAATATTAAGCCTTTTGAAGCATAAGTTCAATTGCTAGAAATTGAAAGAAGCCCTTCACGCTCTATAAAAGGAATTTAAACTTCCATTTATAATGGAAATAGTACTTTAAATTTGGATGTGCTTTTGTTAAAAAAAGTGAATAACAAATTAAATTATTTGCTTTGAGGTTAAGGGGTTATTTTTTCACAAGTATTGCTTTTGGTACTGTATGATTATTATTGCAAACCCAATGACTTTGAACTAAGAATCCTGTATTCAAATGCTATTAAAAGTAATTTTCATTATAGTTTTCTGAAACATTTTAATCAGATCATATAAAGTCAGGCAAATGAGGTAATATACAATATGTGTCCACTTTTCACTCTCCATAATAATTGCTTCAGTTACACTTACCTTCTCAAATACTGTTGCTCTAATTATCTTATTTCGCAAGTCAGGATCTTTTCAACGGCTAAGTTTATCTGGAGTCAGAACCTACATATTACATATTCTCCATATAATCTTTAATGGTAAATTCATATTGATTTAAATGAAGTTTTTCCAACCTAAGAAAAATAAACATATCATTTGAAAAATTTTGAATTCAAAGGAACAGATATATATGCCTAAATACAATATGCACTTACATCGTTTTTTTTTTCCAAAATCGTATTCTGTATTGTAGACATGATCTTACATACACAAGTGTAATACTGTTTTAAATTATATTTCCCAAATAAACCAACAATTTGCTCTTGTTGCATACATTGTATTACTGCTCATGTTTTCAGTTTTAGCAATGTGAGCTACTGGCAGTGTATGTGCAAATACTGGGTCACATAAAGACTATACTTTTGACTATCCGGGACATAAAATTCAACCTTGCTAATTGGAAGCTCTTTTGGCTTTTGTACAAAATGAAATCCTTTTGAGAGGATGCTATCATCTTAACCCGTGAAGAAAGGAGACACAAAATTAAACACCTTTTCTTATACGCTCTTATGAGAATCAGTCACTTTGGACATTACTAAGTGATATCTTCTAATTCAAGGAGAAAAATATAGGTTTAATTTTTTTTCAGATCATATAGTTTATTAGTTTTCAGATGTTATTCTCAGAGCACTTGTGTTTAGAAAGTTCAGAAAGGTTCTAATTCAGTTTTTACGGTAGACAAATTTTCTTTGGGACTTGAATAGAGTTGAACTTGTACTCTGTCCTCTCATTCCTTTGATGAGAACCTTAGTCAAGGATTTGAACATTTATTGATTACTTAGTTTTCTACAGTCTAATTAATGAATTAATTTAATTAATTAGTTGAATTAATTGACATGTTTAACTAATTATAATTATTACTAACACATTCCAGCTTTCTAATGAGATTCCTTTCCTTGCCAAATATGTATCAAGGCCTATTTTATCCAAATCATCTTCAAGTCAGAGGACAGGAATGCATTCTGGAATATCTGGATTTCATTTTCTTTTGTTAACAAAGCATGTTCAGTGTAGGTCAGCGCCGTCTGTTTTTGCCTCTCTTTATTTCCTCTTTATTCATACAAAACTATTTTTCATTCCTAATGCTTGCTCAGCCAAGGTGTCACCCAATGTCCTCATTTATTTCCTCCACTCCTCCTGGTGATTACAAGCCTTACAGATGCTAAAGTAGTTTGTTGATGACTCCTTCTGTACTTTTCACTAGTAATTGACAAATCAAGCAGTTAGCTGAATAGGCAACTTACTTGTGGTGCGATACATTGATTTATCTTAAAAGTTTGCGTAATAGGTTTAGCTATGATTAATTTAAAAGGAGTTCTCCTGTGAGTATATGGCATATTTCTGATAACAATTTATCATCATTTGCTTCAAATAAGGGGTGGAGCTAATCTCGGAAAGAGCTTTGTATGTTTGTTTGATGGAAGCTGAATGCCGCCCCAGCTGAAAATGCTGACTCATGTCAAAAAATTTCCATTTAATTTACACTCAGCACAAAGCAGCAAAAGAGCTAAATAGTACCCTCAGAGGAGCAAACTGAAACTATTGCTTGAACAAGTCCTTGTAAACTGCAGGGTTTAGTGAGAGAGGAAAAATACGTTTTAAAAGGCGTAGATAGGAGTAGATTGTTACAGAACAGGGATGTCGAGATGTTTGCTGTGACTTGAGGAACATTTTGGTTTTGTTTGTCTAACAGTAGCAGAGCCGAAAAATTGCCAGTAACTCATTTGAGATATCGACGTGGCAGTGGAATGGGAAAGGCTGCAGGGTGGTTTATCTCTTGGAACGTGAGAGCCCTTCTGCAGTTTCAGGGATCTTTGGCTTTTAAGATGTCGGGATGTTAGCACACACCTGCACCTCTGCGTAGTTCAAGTGGCATCAATGGATTCGGCATCAATTTCTGCTACAGCAGCCTTGGCAAAATTTCTTGGTGAATTTTTCCTGGGAGAAGGCTAGTCTGTCACTTCTGAATTCTTGTTCCTTTGAAATCAGTAGGACTTTCCATCAGCAGTAAAATCCAGATTTCTCTCAAATGTGTAAGCAATATTTTCTAGCAATAAATTTGTTGTGTAGTTCTTGTTGGCTTTTTTTCCCCATGCTATTGGAATTTAATTAACATAGCACAGATTATCTTTTAGTAAATATGCAGCATGTTTATAACAGCTAAATTGTCTTCCTGGTATGTTTCACTGACTGGTAAAATTAATGTTTTTTATTTGTTCAGATGGTTTTTTGGCCCAACCAAACGAGCAGATGCCGAGAGACAACTGTCATACCCTGGAAACCAGGCAGGAGCCTTCCTAATTCGAGAAAGCGAAAGTCTAAAAGGCGAATACTCACTTTCAGGTATATTCTAGTTTTTCATCTTAAGCAATGTTTTAAAAATTTCTCAGGTGATCTGGACTTTTTTATTTTTGAGAACGATAAACTGTGGCCATGAAAATGAAATTAAGTTCATGATAATATTTCTTTCCCAGGAGATATATAAAGAAAACTCAGCAAGATTCATTTGGATTTTTACTAACATTTATTTTGTAGGCTTTGTTTATTAATATGTTCAGAGCAGAAATTAACTTTCTTATGCTTAGTACTTCTAGTGTGCCAGCTGCCTTAAAATAGAAACTATTTTCATTATTAAAATGCCAAAAAATACACTGAAGTTGTACACTACTGTTCTTGATTAGTACCAAAATAAAAATTAAACCATGTTGGCAGATACCTGCAGTTTAAGAAAATGAGATTTCTGCTAGAGCACACCCTTAGGTCTATATTTATTTGTTTTCAGGGACAAAATGATAGGAAAATCTTCAAAGCTCTACTTTGGAATCAGTCATATTTCATTGAAAAGTTAGTTGTAAACATGAATAAAAAGTTAAATTTATGATGATGATGGGTTTTGAAATGTATTTAAAGTCCTTTATTTGAATCCGAAAGACTATCAAATAAGGACACTTATTTGATAATAATTTTACTTACATATATGTACATGTCATCTTTTTCATGTCATAGATATTTGCCATATCAGATAGTAAACATGATTGTTCATGGGTTGTTTTCCATGAATATTTTCTATCAAACTTGTCATACAAGTGTGAGTCAAGAGTATAATGTTGTCCCTGAGACAACAGAGCTATACACCCAAACTTCCTAATGTGCTCTACCTATATAGTTCCATACGCCAGTGAAGACTCTTGATGTTTGTGAATAAACGGTTAAGTTGTCACGTGCAGAATTATGTCAGTAAAATGAGAGGCGTCTTCTGCATAACCAGATTCTTTCATATTGACTCCTTTTCTGCCTGGATGTTTATGTGTCAGTCATCTTCTGAGCATTACACAGAAACACATTAAGCAGCTTAATGAACTTTTGACACATTCTTGGTTTCTCTTTCCGAATCATAAGGAAAGGGTATATACCTGCAATGTCTTGTGGTAATGGGAGGGTTGCTTTTTATTGCCAAGACAAAGAAATATTTGTTGCCTGTGGAGTGAAATACAGGGAAGTTTATGAAATAAATACAGTATTTACAGTTCTGTAAGAGTTCATTCCATAGTCTTCAGTTTGCCCTCAAGGAAGTTTGTTCTCGCCAAGAAGCTCTGATAAGAAAACTAACATCAGCAAGGAATCAGACTGCTCCCAAACTGTGACTGAACTGTGTGTGCACCCTTTTATCCAAAAACTGTATTATAGCCGCAAACCTTTCAAAATGCTTTCCCTCTATATGCCAACTTATCCCTGTCTTACATGGTTTCAGCTTCCTTCAAGTGCTCTTCATCGGTGAACTGATTTCATCCAAGGACTGGGCTAGACCGATAACAGTGTGGTGTTATGCAGGGAAGGATAGATAGGCCTGTATTATCTGCTTAATGCTGGCACTTGAATACATGACACCTTACTAAAAATCAATGAAAACTCTTGTGCTTGTGCACCTAGGGGTGGAAATGCAGTTTCTTTTTGTTATTCTCCAACTGTAGCCTTTTAGGAAGGATTCAAAATCTTAATTCTTCACCCTGCATCCTGACTACTTCTTTAACAGGAAGGCAGCAGTACCTTATTTAAACTATGAAGTACCGCAGAGAAAAATCCAAGAGAATGAAAATAAATATTAGGCCAGCATTTGTGGTAGGATGAGATCATCCTTTGATGCTGCTGTTTAATTTTTTCTTTACAAATCGTGGATAGAAACTATATTCAGTCTGATTTAGTATATTTGATTCAAGTATAAAAGCTTGTGGTAGACATTTTTCAGGTTTCTGTACAAGCTTATTTGGGAACAGAAGATTTGATAATGGCTGATAACAGCAAGATATGAAATCTTCAGTGTGGATTTTTCCATGCTAGTTTGTCTGATGAAGGAAGGGAAGAGTGGCGCTGAAGAACATAATATACGAGAAGGCAAGGCTCCTGCTACAGGAGACAGCCCTCCTTCATGCACAAACATGGGTTGTCCTCTGAGCATGTATGCATGTATATGTGTGTCATCTCAGATTTATTACACATTTGTGTTCTGTTAGGCAAAGAAAGAGAATAAACTCTGAAGCAGTCTGTAGACAGTGAGTATTAATGGCGATTTACCACTGCTGCTAGATCTTTTAGCAGCTTCCCAGACTTGAACGTAATTTAGCCTCAACATGCTACTTCATCCTGAAGAGCTAAATATTATTTGCTGCTTACTGAATAGGCTTGACTGACTAGTGTCTGTTTGTCTTGTGCAAGCTTTTTTGCTTCCAACCTAATAGTATACCTAACGGTCCAGACACTGTATGTCCATAATCTCATTTCTTATGTCTACTTTTGGGAGAGCTAGTGCGTTCTAAAGCAAATGATGAAGTGGACTGTACTGTGGGTAGAATTAATTGGAAGGAAAGTTGTTTAGTCCACCAGATGCTATGGAGAAGGCAGTTTTTCTGACTCTGTCCTCTTTGTTCCATCAGAAGGAGTTATAAGACCCCCAAAGCAGAGGCAGAAAAGCAGTGTTTTCTTGAGGAACAGTGATTCAGGAGTGTATTTCTTTTAAGAGGCCTTGGATGGCTTCTATCTCCATGGTAGCTGATATGCTGATGGGGGAGAAGTCACAACCTGATATTTTGGAATATATCCCTAATTTCTGTTTCCAATTTTTTCAGTGCAGAAAGAACAGACCCCCAAAATCCCATCCTCTGTAGGACTGTTTGGGTTTGCTCTACCTGCTATTGCTGTTTTGGTTTCACTCCAGGGTAGATGATAATGACTAGAACAGTGACAACCTGGCTTTCAGAATTAAGGTCTTTAAGAAAATATTGTAACTCTCTGTACAGACTAACATTTAAGTGTAATAAAGCTAAAAAGGAAAAGAAGTAGAAAAGGAAGAGAGATTTTTACCCAAGCACCCATAAACTGATTTTATGACTTTCATGCTTGATTTCATACTTGTATGGGCAATGTATAAGAGACTTAATGGTAATGAGGGAGACAAATGGATCTCCTTAGGAAAAAAAAAGAAAAAGAAATAAACCCTACCTTTTATTAAAATGACACTTTTAACTTCTAACTTGCCTTGATGGGAAAACTCACAATTTGTAAGATTTAGATGATAAATGACTATTTAAATTGGAAACAAAAAGTCATATTCAGAAAGGTTTTTCTCAACTGTGAATGGTTAAATGGAAAGCACATCAAACCAGATAGGCCACTGAGATGTGTTGCTATTATTTTAAAGTGTTTGACATTTTAAAAATAGGTTTTCCCATTTTAAAAATGCACGTTGTCGACAGATTTTTATGTTGATGACTCCAGCATCTGGTGTGTAATGTATTAAATTTTAAACATGTTGGTGCCATCTTAGGCATTGCCTCTTTTTAATTAAAAGCCATAATTTAGATGCGCTCAGCTTAATTGAGTGTCATTGCCAATGATAGCAGGAGGCTCTCTACTTCCCCCCTCACTGAATAATGGTATCTGAAAGACTGATTGCATTAAATGACAATGTAAATCGTTTGTGTTTTCTTCCATTTTTTTCCCTGCTCCTAAAAAAGATTGTATGGTTTCCTCTAGGCCAGATTGGCTTTCGGCATAGGAAAAAATAGGTAATAGTTTAAGGCAGCGGACTGATAGCAGTGGGAAAATGATGGCCGTAGCAGGAGAACAATTTCGGAGCAGCCCCTGCACCCGTTCCGTGCTTGTAAGAGTGATCTCATAAGCCACCCTCCTCCCACATCCACCCTGGGCATGGAGACCGAGCATGGCTCCTGCCAGCAGCGCTGCACTGTCAGTGCTGGGGGAGGATGGCTGATAGGAGAGCTGTTGGGACACTGATGGTAATGGTGCCTTATTGTCTCCATGATTCATTTGGTGAAGATCTTGACTCTGCTGATGCCACTATAAATTTTGCTGCCCTGGGAAAGCAGTAGTAAATTATTTTATTCTCATCCTTGGGGTGGCAAAATGTACTTCTGCATGGCCCAACCTTATGAAGATGGGAAGCAGGGAGAGGAGAATGCTTCTGCTAAGCCAAACCCTTGAAGAAATCTAATGGGGAATGGCGATTCTTTTGGGAAGGTCAAGTCAAGGAGAAAACCACTGCAGTCTTCAAACCTAGTTGCTTTCAAACTGTGTGAAGCTGAATTTGTGATCCTGTCCTGTTAAACAGTCTGGTGTGGATATAGTGAAGACTGGAAGCACTGAGGGGGTTATGGCTAGCTCTTCCCTGCGTGATGGATGCTCTGTGTTGTGTTGGGCGTGCTGCAGCTCTGCGAGTGTGCGGTGCAGGACTCATACAGCCAGACTCAGCCCTGGGATACAAGTAAACAGCCCCCTGTCAAATACCACACTAATCTCAGCTGCTTATCACAAGCAAAGATGGTATCAGCACAGAAATTTTCTCCAGATTCTCCACACATATCATACGCCTGACCTGTAAGCTGCCAATCATAAGGCTTTGTACAAGGCTCATTTGAGAAATTATAGCACACCCCTCAAACCAACTCTTGCATTAATATTAGCTGCTTCACAAGTAATAATTATAAAGCTGCTAATAAATAAAGCAGGTAGTCAAACTACTATCATTTGTGATATACAACTGAGGCTGGATTAACACAGTCATCCTGTTGGCCTTTTATTCATCATAAATAGCAATTCATTTGGCCAGATGCACTTTACTGTGAGCTTTGGAAAAGTCATTACATTTCCAGTCTGTTGTTACTGAATTACTTTTTCCTTCATTTTGCTTCAGTGCCATTTCCAAATGATACATCACAAAAATATACATGCATTTTTTAATTAGAAAATATACTAATTATGGGGACTTAATTTAAAAAGAAATGGTATTTGAAAAGTGTGATGTAATTATCTTTATACTATGGAGTTATATTTACAAATATTCTTATTTCTGGTCCTCATGCAGAATTGTAAGTTGGTAAATCAGCTCTCAAAATATTACCTGTGGCAGATGTAAAATCTCCTAATATTTTCAACAGCTCCTGTATGCCCTCTGGTGTCCTGGGATGACAATTGCACAATACAGTACAAAAATATTTGATCATACATGACAGTACTTAAGAAAGGAGAAATTTTTCTTTTTAACTTAATCACTTAAGTAGTGAGAGAAATTATACTTTATATCAGCTTCGTTAATTACATGCAACCCATAATTTTCTATAATTTTTTCTAGATACAATATGTAGCTCCGTATTCTTCTGTTAGTATAACCAAAGTGATTGCCAAAATTCATGCAGTGTTACAATATCAAGGATCTATCAGCTATGATATATCTCCAGGGGAGAGCAATAACAATTTTTTAGACAATTAGATTTTCAAATGTAACAGACTGAGGCTGCTTCTAGGATTGAAAAATATTTCCATTAAATTATTTAACTAAGAGTTACCACTAGTCTACATGACTAAATTGAATATGTTTGCTGGAATTTTGGCTACTAAAAGGTATATTGGAGGTAAACAGCAGAAGGCCTTTCCCCTATGCCTCCCTTCTGCTTTTCAGACTTTTCTCTTGTGTGAGGGCCCTGAGAAGGGGACAGTACTGGTAGTCTCCCAAATCGATGGGTGCGGAAGGAGTCACCTGGCATATTGGAAAGGTGTAATGTTGGGTGATGAGGACCAGGATGGCAACTGGAGCACCCCCCTCCCCTTGAGAGCTCTGTCCTCACTCATCATGGAAAAGCACCATGTTGTTTCATTAAATGCAGGGTGGGATACCCCTCTTATAGGAGCTAAATCAGTTACCCTTCAGTGTGTAACATAGGCTCTCCATTGCCCACTGGAAATGGACAGTGATGTCTCAGGCACGGAGTGTCATGCTAAATCACACCCCACATGGGAGCCTACATCCCTTTCCAGCTCTTCAGAACTGCCCTCCCTGCTGACACTCAGCCTGCCATTACTACTGCTGATATTCCTTTATAAAGGCGATCTCTAAGCCAGTGGTCTCCAAGCTTTTTGATTGTGCACCCCTACCAGTAAAAAGAGTTCTGAGCATTCACCCCCAACATATGTTTGTTTGTTTGTTTATTTATTTGTAAACTGTATACATGTACTACTGTACTGATAGATTATGTACATTATAGAACATACACCAAAAAAAAAGAAATTAAAAAAGGATGAGATAAAGATGAAATAAACAGTATTTTTAAAATACTTATTTTATTTTATTTATTAATGGTACAAAGAATACCTTTTTGCCCCATCCCAAAGGACTGTCTTGCACACTCCCCAGGTTGCATGCACTCTGCTTTGGAGACCACTGCTCTAAGCCAGTTTCTGATGACAGAACCATCAGAAATGGCAATTACAAGCCTACTATTCCTTAGATAACATACTAGGTGAGTGACAGTGCATTTTTTTCTCCATCTCTGGCCTGCTGCTGGTCCAGGTCTAGCCCCAGCATGCAGTGGCCCAGCCTTCTTTCTGACACCTCCAAAGAGTGCTCTGACGGACACAAGGAAGGACACTTTTGGTGTCATGACGTGCAGCTAAATAACCAACAGGAGATGAGGAGAGAAAGGTCTTGTTGACTAGGAAAGAATAGATGGGAATAAAACACATTTCAATGGAAAGGGAGTCATCAGCTACTCAAACCAGAGCGTTATTGGCCTGATTTTTGCATATTCCAAACATGCACAAAACTCAATAAAACCCATGGAAGATGTGAGGGCTTTCCAGAGAATCATGGCCGTGTGGAGGGTATATCTTCTGCCTCACAGAAGATATCTTTATGTATTTTTTGTGTCAGTTCTTACGGTGCAAACAAGAATCTCCGAACCTGAATGGTTAAAGACTAATAGACTAGATATGTTAAGCTATCTAAATAGTGGGCTTTGGTTTGAAAGAGATTTTGTATAGTTGTCATCTTTGAAACTAAAATAATTTATTTTAAGGTCCTCATGAATACATTTAGGAAAATTATGATGGATTGGCCGTAAGCTATATTGTACCATTGCTATAATTCCTGGAAACATAATATATTTAAATCTTCTTAGTTTTTGATGGTGTATCTGTGAAGCACTACAGGATCAGAAAGTTGGATGAAGGAGGCTTTTTCCTAAGCAGAAGGAAAACTTTCAAAACTCTGAATGAGTTTGTTGACTATTACAGTAAGAACAGTGATGGCCTCTGCGTGGTGCTCGGAAAGCCATGCCTAAAGGTAAGAGTGGATGCTACATTGTGCAACATATTTTTTGTAAGCTAACTCATCGGATATCAGTCAGAAGGTGTTAACCCCATATCTGCTTCTACCATTTCAAAATGTTGATGATCTGCTTATTTTCAGGAAGTTCTGGGTAGCGCTACAGTTTCATTCTTGAAGCTGACGTTAATAATAAAATACCATGCCATTTTGAACAAATCATCGTGTGGCTGGAGGAGAAAATATGCCAAATCATGATTTATGAATACCTTTTATAAATGTATATGGAGATGAAATCTCCAACTTCATAACTCTAGCTGTCCATAAGTAATTACTGAGACAAAACCACAAGGTTCGGGCAAGAAATACATCACTGTTCAAAAAGCTTGCTAGAGGGATGATTTCTAATTTTTACTTTTAATGGCAGGATATTTTCTTTAGAGTATTTCTTATTTCTAACAAAAAGTACCCAGCATGTGGGCTGTACTTTATGTTCTCAACTTACTTTATCACGTGTGTGTACTCTAAGGAAGCATTATTTATATCAGTTGCGACTTTACATGACATAGTTAACAATGACTTGCATATGCTGTTGAAAAAATATTAGAAGTCTCAATTACTGTATTATTTATTTCTTTTACCAGGTACAAATTCCTACTACTTTTGATTTGTCATATAAAACTGTCGATCAGTGGGAAATAAACCGACAATCTCTGAAATTGTTGAAAAAATTAGGATCTGGTCAGTTTGGTGAGGTATGGGAAGGACTGTGGAATAATACCACCCCCGTGGCAATCAAAACATTAAAACCAGGTATGTGAATTACTCTTAAATGCTAATAATGTGAAATGTTAGCAAGGGTGCGCCTTCATTTTTTAAATTCTACTGAAAAGAGCTTATCCATCTATGCAACCATTCTTGAAATCCATGCACTTAAACATGAAGGTTAGTAAAGCTCAAGGTCCAGATATTCTTTGGTATTTTGAATTACAATTTTATACAGTTTTCTGTTTCCGTATGAGCTGAACTCATTCAGTATCTGTATTACATAAAAAGGCAACCCCAGCAAGGCCATCTCTTTTGTACAATATTGCTTGCATGGAATTGAATGACTACATTTCATCTGTAGGTGAAGTAATCGATTTACTACTGGTTTGTCATCTGTAGAATTTCTTCTAGTGATTAGATGCTATATTATAATGATTCCTGCGGTAATATAGAATATGTACTATGTTAAGTTTATATTTAAGAAGCGCTTTAATCTTAATATTGATTGAATAAAATTTCTCAAAGTTTTTGATACACATTAATACCCAAAATTTGCATATAATATAGGCTCGTTACTAATACAGCTTTTAAGATTTTTCTTAATTATTTTTCATTAACTTCAAGTAATTTGTGCATTTTAAATTGACAACATAAAATATCTGCCAGCAGATGGCAAGAACCACATAGGTAAGAAAGGTAGCCTGGATGATATACATGTTTTTTAAAAAGAGATAACAATACAATGAGTTGTTGTTAATTGAAAAAGCTTGTGTTGGGCATTAATGATCATGTTGCAGGAAGCAGAACAGATTCAGATCTTTGATTCAGAAGAACAACTAAAAATGCTTGAGCTCTGCTTGAATGGCCTCCTGAACAGGGAGGAATTTAAGTATGTGTTTTAGGGCTATCTTGTATCAGGATATTGCTTGTCGTCTGGGACTTGAAAATTGAAAGCAAATAAGTACCTTTTTTTCTCTGCTTAACTGAAATTAGAAAAACTGCTCAGACTAAAGGCCTTCTATAATTCATGTGAAAGACAACATACTTTTTTCAGTGAACAGATGCATCTCCCTAGTGACCCAGTAAAGACAGAAACCATCTTCAAATCTCTTTGTCCATTTCTCTTTCCTAAGACAGTATCCACTAAGCCTATACCTTTTGTGACAGGGATCCATGTACCTATTTTTATTGACTCCTGAAACCACAAGTCTGAAACCAGTCTTTTTCTCCTTGTGTCTGTCCTGAATCTTCCATTCTGTGGTACAAGCCCACTACCTCTTGTCTCATACACCATGACTAAAGAGTACCTATTATTTTCTTCCTCTTTACAGCAGTGTTGCACATACTAGAAAACTATTATCAAGTTACTCTTCGGTCTTCTCTTCTTTAGGTTAAACAGCTCAACCAGATTCTTTGTGTAGCTCAGATGTTTTAGATGTCCCATTGTTTTCAGAAGATCTTTACTGGGCTGTTTCAAGGTGGTAACCATATTTTTTTCCAAGTATGATGCTAAAAGGAAGAACAAGTCTAGATGTGTAAAGAGAGGGATTCGCTTTACGTTTCTGACATGCTAGACCTCTGTTTAAACAGTCCAATATGATGCTTGCCTTTCTTCTCCATATGACAAGAACCTAATATTTCCATCTGTGTTTACTTTCCTTTAGTGATTTAATGCAACATCTGGACAAGTCTGTTTTATTGCAGAAGACTGAAGGGTTCTTCCTAAAGTGTGAAATATGTGAGATATGACTATGTCATATGTGAGATATGAATTAGTCGCCATCACAGAAACATGGTGGGGTGACTCTCATGACTGTGCTGCAATGGATGGCTATAGACTCTTCATCA